AATATGTTTTCTTTATTTATGATAGGGTACATGGGTGCACAGTGTGTGTGAGAGAAAGAAAGAGAAATGAGCACCTTCCACAGGATCTGGTCTCAACATGTTCCCCTTCCTCCAGTTCTCCTGCCTGTTGGATCTTGGGTGCTTATGCACATATCCAGCATGTTTCAGGCTGGCTGGGCTTGGGATTTAAATTGTGGTTTTCTTGTGAGCTTGGGCTTTTTGTGAGCAGCACATTACTGCTGTGCTGCAGAACTGGCCTACTCTGCATATTTTTAATAGTGAGTTTAATCTATTTATATTTAAAGTAATTATTGACAGGTAAAGACTTCCTATTGTCAATTTGGTTATTATGTCCTATTTGTTTTGTCATTAGTTTGGTTCTTTTTTTTTCTTTGCTGTATTATTTTGTAACTTGATTTACTTTATTTAGTTTTTTCAAGAGGTTTTTGATGTAGGGTGCATGTGCTCGCCAGAAAGACATAAAGCGAGAAATCACCTCCCCCCCAGAGGGGATGGTCATGCCGCAATCCCTTCTCTTCCATTCTCCTCTCGGGATCTTGGGCACACACGCACACATGCCTGGCATGAATTTAAGCCACTGGGTCTGGGACTCGAACCACACTCGACTACATGGGAGTCCAGTGACATAGCCATTACGCCAATTGCTGGTCCCATCTTGATTTACTTTTATAGTCACATACTGTCCTTTTTTCCCCTCTATTTTTTGCTGCTATGATAGGCATTTTCTTGCAGTTACCACATGACTTGAATAAAAATTCTTAAATTTAACAGTCTCTTATAAACTGATAATTTTGGTCAGATAGGACAGCTTTATACTCCCACACTCTGTGTGGTTCTGGATGGGAACTAGCAATGACACAGGACAGGCAGAGCTTGCTGTCATTTATATCACTTGCTGGGGCTGATGCCTGCTTGACTCCAGTTTTCAGTAAGACCACTGGCTGGGTTCTGCAACAAGGCAGAACTACTAGCTGGTCGTTGCAATTACTTCTGATTGGGCCAGGGTGAAGGGTGTCTTCTCTGGTCAGGTAGTACCACTAATTGAGTTCTGTAATTGGTCTGAGCTTCTGGTTGTGTCCCAAGGTTAGGTAGAATTTCTTCTAGGATGGTCAGGATCAGTTGCTATGCTCAGAAGAAATGCATAGTTGAATTTTGTTTCCCTGCTTGGGCAGAGCCTTTGAGTAGACTTTGAGGCTTAGATGAGCCACATTTTGAATGCCTGGATGGAGCAAGTCTAGCCCCTGTGCTTTGCCTAAAGGTTCTGCAATTTGTATTTCATTCCCTGGGGGATGTTCTGGGATAGGCTTTGAGGCTGAGTTGAACTTCTGGTTGCAGAACTGGGTGGTGCAAGTATAACCTCTGTAGTTTGTTATGGTTTGTGTCTCCCTCCCTGGGGAGGGTCTTGGGGTGGATTTTGAAGTTTGAATGCCTGACTGGTACAAGTCTAGCTATTGTCCTTTGCTAAAATACTTTTGTGATAGGTGTTTCCTTCCTTGGGTGGGACCTTGGAATGGAGCCTGATCATTTGGGGACTTAAGCCAGATTAATTTTGCACTGCACTTCTAAAAGCAACCATCTCAGATTTGCAGGTGGGCTATGTAGTTGGTCTCTCTGATTGGGAGCCTCCTCAAACCAGAACACAGAGCTACTACTAAGATCTGAGCACTAATAACAATACCTCTTTCTGTGTTTCTGTATGACCACAGGCAGTCTAGCCATGCCATTACTCCTTGTGTTCCCCATGAGGTGAAAATGAATGGACTTTTCAAGGGGCTCATCAGAATGCTGGGAAAGCCAACTGTCCATCTTGTTTCCTTTTCCCACTGTAGATGCTATGACCTAGAGGATTCTTCTCTTCACGGTGCCAACTTGGAGGAAGATGGGAATGATGTGGTTAAAATTAGACCATTTCTCTTACCCGTCTAAAGCAGTTTTTATTTCTTTCTGTGGTTCATACAGGTTTCTGAGGTTTATTTGCAAGTTTTGAGGTCTACAATGATGTGTTCTTGTCTACTATTTAAACCTTCTGCATGTATGTGGAGGGAGAGAGAAGTCTTGGATGTCCTATTCTGCCAATCCATTGACCTATTTTTCCCAGTTATTTCATTTATTTGTTAGTTTGCTTGCTTGTTTACTTGTTTGACAGTGGGTGTATGCACTTGCGAGAGAGAGAGAGAGAGAGAGAGAGACAGACAGATAGACAGACAGACAGACTGGGCGGAGGAGGGAAGAAGGGAGGGAGAGAGAGAGAGAACTCCAATAGGGCATGGTCATAATTTTGGGTACATACGCACATGTGCCTAGTATATTTTTCAAGTCCCCAGGATTGGATTTCAAGCTGCTGTCAATCATGAATAGGATGTGACTTGCAGAGTACAACGCTTTATCCCTGAGCTACTGGGCTGCCCTCCTACTCTGCCATTATTTTAAAAATAAGCTTTTGCCCTTTCTCTTTTCCTTCTGAAACTTCCATAATATGTATATTGATTTTCTTGATGGTGTCCCTTAAATCTCACAGGCTTTCTTCATTCTTTCACTTTTTGCTCTTCTGAGTAGATCATTTCAAATGACCTTTTTTTTTGTAGCTTATTCTTTCTTCGGCTTGATCAAGTCTGCTGTTGATGCTCTACACTTTTTTCAGCTCAGTCACTCACTGGATTTTTCCATTCCAGAATTAGTTTGGGTCTTGCTTATGGTTTCTGTTTGTTCAAGTTTACATTTTATTCATATATTGGTTTCCTAATTTTGTTTAATTGTTTTTCTGTGTTCTCTTGTAGATCTCTGAAATTTTTTTTATGGTGACTGACTTTTTTGTTAGGTGGTTTGTAGTTCTCTGTTTCTTTGGGAAATGGAGATTTATTTTATTCCTTTCATATTGTTATGCTCCTTGATTCTTCTTGATCTTTATAGCCTTGCACTGATGTTTGCACATTCGAAGAAACATTTGCCTCTTCCAGTCATTACTTTGAAAGGAAACATTCTTCACCAGTCAAACCAGCCTGAGATTCTGGGGAGGCCAGTTGGCAGAGTCTGTGGGTGGATAGGCCTAGTGCTCGGGGATGTGGTTGGGTGGCTAGCTACTGGAGAACATGGGCAGACCCACTTCCTAGCCATGTGCTAGATGTTGAAATCTGCATACAGATCTTTTTTTCTTTTTAAAGATTTTTGCAACAAAAAGTGACAGAAAGAGACAGTGAGAGGGGAAGTGAGAAATTGCCCTGTGGGAGGATGGCCACTCTGCAATCCCTTCTCCTCCATTCTCCTCCTGGGATTTTAGGCATTCATGCACACATGCTGGTGTGATTTTTTTTAAGCCACCAGGTCTGGGACTTGAACCATGATCAGACATGTAGGAGTCCAGTGTTTAACCGCATGCCACTTGCTGGCCTCTATATTCATTGCGAGAGCTCCTGTGCACTTTCCTGTGTTTTTGGTTCTTAGCCTCTCTCAGATGTTGAGCCATGTTGATTCTCTCAGAGTTTTGGTGAGACATGACAGATGTGGTCTTCTTGGGTAGCATCCTAAAAGGTTGGGGAAGTTGAATGTATGCTTCATTTTTTTTTAAAAAAAGAAAGTTATGCTATAGAGACAGAGATAGTGAGACAGAAAGAGAGAAATCACCCCCTAGGGGATGGCCACACTGTAATCCCTTCTCCTCCATTCTCCTCTTGGGATTTTTGAGCATGCACACACATGTGCCTGGTGTAAGTTTTAGGATGCCAGACCCAGGACTTGAACCATAGTCAACTATGTGGGAGTCCAGCAATGTAACCATAATGCTATCTGCTTCATTCTTTTTTCCTCTTCACAGGAGAACTTGTAGGCTGAGACAATCTCTATGATGTACTGGCTTGGATGAAGAGTAGTGCTGGTAAAGTAAAATAGTCCTTTCATACAGTTTCCAATACACCATTTCTCACTTCTGTGCTATACCATAGTTTTGCAAATACACCTGGCATGATTTTCAAACCACCAGGCCTGGGACTCAAACTGTGGTTAGCCATATGGGAGTCCAGTGTCTTAACCACTATGTCACCTACTGGCCCCTCAACGTGTTATTTTAAGATACATATATTTGTATTTTTTTTTTAAATCAGTATATTAAGCACTGCATTTTTACCCATGAGTTAGATTCATTTATATTTACTGTTGTTTTATCTACTTTCCCCAGAGACTATAAGCTCAGTATTAATATTTGAAGTTTCTAATAGGCATTTAGTCTGTCGAGTAATGAATCACTGAATGAATATCAGATGAATTAAACTCTACCTCTCAAAGTCCAGGTCAAGTGCTATCTCTCTTGATTTATCTATAAAGGATTTTAATCTCTTTCAAATCACCACAACCCAGTGATTAATCTTTTTTGGGGGGAGAGATTTTGCTCTAAGGCGCGTGCACTCACCAGAAAGACAGAGAGATAGAAAGTGAGAAATCACCCCCCAGGGAAGATGGCCATGCCAATTCCTTCTCTCCATTCTCCTTTCGGGATCTTGGGCATGCATGCACACGCGTCCGGTGTGAGTTTAGACCACCGGGTCCAGGACTCGAACCGCAGTCGGCTACATGGGAGTTCAGCGACATAGCCATTACACTAACTGCTGGTCCCAAGTGATTAATCTTCTTATCAGTTACTGTTTACTTTCTTTATATCGAATGTGTGCTGGATAATATGAGAGACACCCCTAGTGGCAATTGAGTATATCTGGATAGGGCTGAGAATGTGGTCTTATGAACAGGCAAGATGAAGTATTTGACCCTGCAAAACTATAGTATTAGTGTGACCTTGTTTATATTTGAGGCTTGTGAGCTCTTGGGGACACTGGGTTACACTTGCATGTATTTTCATCACCACAGATACATATGCTCATTCTGAGCTGGGGCTATGTCCTGTCACTGTTGAATAACCCATAGGATAATGCCTTGTGTATGGTGAGGAATTATCCCAGTCTCCACTTCAATGTCCCCTTTCTAAATTATTCTCATGTCAGCCTCTGAAAGGGTTTCCTTAGAAGTCTTCCCAGAGCCCCATGCATGTCCTTGTTCCTCAAGCTGTAGATAAAAGGGTTCATCATGGGGGTCACCACAGCATACATCACTGTGGCTACTGAGTCCTTCATGGAGTAAGTGTGGAGGGGTTTCAGATATACCATACAAAGGGTTCCATAGAAGAGGGAGACCACAGCCAAATGGGAAGCACAGGTGGAGAAGGCTTTGTACTTCTTAGAGGCTGAGGGTATTCTGAGGATAGCTCTGACAATCCATACGTAGGACATGATCATGAACCCAAAGGGGGCGAGGAAAATAATGCTGCCTGTGGCAATCAGCATTAAGTGATTGACTTGGGTGTTGGAACATGCCAACCTCAGCAGGACATACATCTCACAGAAGATGTAGTGGATTTTCCGTGACCCACAGAAGGTCACTCTGGTCATGAGGAGGGTGTGAATGAGGCCATAGAAAATAGATAGAACCCAACACAAGAAAAGAAGCAAGATACAAAGTTTAGGGCTCATGGCTGTGGTGTAGTGGAGGGGGCGGCAGATGGCCACATAGCGGGCATAGGCCATCACTGCCAGGATGAGGTTGTCCAGGGCCACCAAGGAGACCAGGAAGTAGAGCTGTGTCAGACATCCTCCGTAGGAGATGGTTTTGTTTTGGGACTGAAGGTTCACCAGCATCTTGGGGATTGTGTTGGTGACAAAAAAGAGGTCAGTGAAGGACAGGTTGGCCAGGAAGAAGTACATAGGAGTGTGCAGGTGGGAGTCTGAGCCGATGGCCAGGATGATGAGCAAATTTCCCACCACCGTGACTAGGTACATGGACAGGAACATCCAAAACAGGATCCGCTGCTGCTCAGGACTCTCTGAGAGTCCAAGGAGTAGGAACTCTGAGTCCTCACTCTGGTTGCCTCCATCCATCTCCTCAACTTTCTGTAACATTAGTACCAACAAACATTTACCAAGTGTCCTCAATTGAGTAAAGACATGAAGATAAGCCAAATCAACAGTTTTCTTAGCATTAAAAATATATTAGATCCAATTTTATAATTTCATAAACATTAGTAACAAAATAATAAAAAACATAAAAGTAGAACATGGTAAGTCTTCATGCAATTTATCATTTCAGCAACTTCAAACCTAGCATCTCAATATTATATAAATAATTCCTAAGTCTTATTTTTTAAAATAATTATTTTTATTATTTTAAGTTTATTTATTTATTTAAATTTGACCATAAAAGGAGAGAGAGAGAGAGAGAGAGAGAGAGAGAGAGAGAGAGAGAGAGAGAGAGAGAGA